CTACCCTTCGGCTGGGTAAACCATTCATGTCTTCTTGTTCTAATCCGCTGGCCAGAGTCGTTGCTGAAGGAGAGACCTGGAGAAAAAAATACTACAAATAAGATGAAGATTACCATTTCCTTGGATGCTACTTGGAAACGTCCTCCCCTAGCACTGGTGTGCCTGCATCCTTTCAGCCCTCCACCCACTGTGGGTCTAGGCAGAACCTCGATGTTTTGTTTCTGAGGTGAACTTTTCTCCTTCCTCCCCTCCCAGCCGTACACCTCCATGTAAGACACAAAATACATGTGGGCAACGTTTCTTTTTATTGTGGGTGTTTCACCATCGATACCCTTTTCCTCAACCCCTGGCCCCGTCCCTGCTATGTGTTGGCAGCAGTGCCCAAGTCTGTTGGCCTGTTTTTCTGAAGATGTTCAAGTTCACTGCGTATCACAGAAGTAGCATCATCAAGGACACTCAGGAGGAGAAAGTCAGCCCAGATGAAATGATGAATCTGGGAAGTTTTGATTTCAACTTTTTCAGACTCTGTGTTCTCCTCTTTAATGATTTACTTTTCAAACACCTCTATTTTCCTAAACTGTTTGCATGTCAAAAACAAAGTAACATCACAAAATTATCTGTACTCAGGTTTAATCTTACATCATCAGGTGAGGGAGAACCTGGTTATGTATTGGGAGAAAAATAGCCAAATGAGAAGAGAAACCTAAAGATGTGATTTGTATAAAAGCATTATTAATTATGACAATTATGTGGCCTGCTTAGCAGTTATGTCTAATTATCATACTAATAAAGTATATTATTGATGACATATTATGAAACAAAGATAATTTTGCAGTAAGTTTTATTTGATTGCAAGAGTGTACTGTAAACAACTGTTAGGCTTCAGACTTTATTGCTCAACATGCAAATCCACAGTTTAAAAACGTCTGAGTAAGGACATTTTTCGGTGTTACATTAGGTAGGATGGGCTTGTCCCCAGTGGGGGTGGGGTGGGGTAGAGAGTGGGCATGGTAATGTGTGTGTGTGTGTGGGGGGGGGCAGTTGGGCCAAAGTCTGTGAAAGGTCGCAGATTTCTTGCCCTAAATCTTTTTTACCCAAGGTGGTACAAGGACCAGTAGCCTCAGCCCCAACTGGGAGCTCGTTGGAAATGCAGAAGCTTAGGCCCCCAGACCAATGAAACCTAAGTCTGCATTTTAGTAATATTCCTGGTGATTGAATTGACAATAAAACTTGAGAAGCATCCCTGCAAATCACTCCTTCCTTTGTCAAGAGCAGTTGACAGGTGAACGGAGAGTAGGAGGAAAAATAGGCTGCTGCTCTCAGAGATCTTTAGACTTTGAAAGTGAGCCTGCAGCTTGTCCCGCGGGGAGATTTCCAGACCCACCGCCAGCGCATCCCCTTCACGGGTCTAAGAGCAAGCCAGGCGTCTGTGTCTTTCACAAGTGCCCTCCCAATGTCTGAGGAGCCTGCAAGGCTGAGCCCAGTCCGTGCTCACGAGGAAGGGAAGGTGGAAAGGCCGGGGTTGATATCACACCACACGGGAGAGGCCACAGCAGGAAGAAAACTACAGCACCTGTGCTGGCAGGAAAAGCCTGCATTCTAACGATTAACTGAGAAAGTTCTCTCAGGTAAAGAATGTGGGTTTTTCTTTTTGTCTTTTTTTTTTTTGACTAATCAGGCTTTCAGTGACCCTGAGCCTTATGTGGAAGCCACATAATCTGGAGGAAGTACCCACAATGCACACGATGACCTCACCCAGCTCTCCTGTTTAAAAGCTGTGCTCTCCAACAAACAAGCAAAATATCACCAGAGACGGTGAGATTAAGAACAAACTGACAGTAACCAGTGGGAAGGGGGGAGGAGATAATGGGGGGAGAAAGGGGGTTTTCAGGAACATGTATAAAGGACACATGGACAAAACCAAAGGGGGCTAGGATCGAGGGTGGGAAGTGGGGATGGCTGGGGTGGGGGGCAGTAGTGGGGGGAAATGGAAACAACTCTACTTGAACAACAATAAAAATCATGTGAAAAAAAATAAATGCACATGGGGGCGGGGGAAAGCTGTGCTCTTATTCACTAAGTATCTCCACCAGCAGGTGTCAGTCTCTCCTCAGCATTTTCAACACTATGTATTCTTCTGTGCATTTCTTGTAATATCCTTGCCAGGCGGGGAGCAGGACGGTTTGAGGGAGAGATGCCTTTTGAAAAACCCCGTGAAACTGTGTCCATTTCAAGCAGGACTTAGTGACAGGGTTTCTCCCCCCCACCCCCGCCCCTACCACCCCCAAACCAAGACTATATAACAACAATAAAAGACAGTATAGTTAATATTAAAATATTAAATTAAACAGGAAGAAAGGCTGGTTAGAGGATGTGTTCTAAAGATCCTTTAATTTGGTGCTAATCTGAATTAGGCTGCATGGTTCAGGAATTCTCTGAAAGTAACCAAAATATTCGTTTCTCATTTATGACGCGTTTCTCTCCCAGAGCAATCCACGCCTCCCCAGCGGCCCCACCCAGTGCACTTCCGTGCACGAAGCACTCCACCGCTGCATCGCCTCGCCCCACATTTCACGGGTACTTCACTCACTCGGTTTTGAACCTGTGTGGCCAGGAGTTACGGTTGGTTACCAGTGTTTCCTAGGGTTCCATCCCAGAGGAAAAATACTTAATATGGGAAGGCAGCCGGATCCACATTTGCTGCTGCAGCATAAATCTCAATTTACAATAGAAAGAAGAGCTCAGCTAATTTGAGCCTGGAGTCTGATTCATAGTTTATTAAGTGATTAACCCCACACCCTTCCCCACCCTAGCCGGCCAGTAGCAAATGGTCTTTTAGGGATGTAATGAGTGAAGAGAACATGTTCAACATAAAAGAATGTATCAGGAATTGTTCTAAATACACTTGGTCAGACATAGTATGTTTAAATACAGTTTTACATGCAGTGTAATTTATATGTTTGCATAGTTTGTTAATCTGTGAAATTTGTATTATGCACTATAATATATAGTAAAAATTATTCTTTAAAAAGGTGGTTCTGAATTTTTCTAAAGTCTCACTAATTAGATGACCCTCTGAGAAGATATGAACCACTCGAAGCAGAAAGTGTGTAACTTGTGGGTCAATGCGATTATCTACTCTGTCTGCGCTCGATAGATACAGATAGATACCTACTGTATAGACAGCGAGCGACTGTAGGTAATGTAAGAAAGATGTTTGGTAATACAAATACTTAGGTTAGTATGTATATAGCAATGCATAAGGACAGACGCCTGGCGACTTGTTTAAAGACTTAACACTTCCTAGTTCAAACGGACACTGAAGACGTTCTTATCACTTATTCACCCGCCGTGTATCGCGGGCCTGCTCGGCGCTGGGCACTGCCCGCACGAGCGCAGCCTCCGGATTTTTGCCGTCAGCTGGAAAGTGAACTCCTAGGAGCGCTGCAGAGACTATTGCTATACAAACAACATTTAAAAATGAGATACAATGACCGCCACCACGTCAAGGGCATTTTAAATTTCACGATCCGATTTACACACTTCGAATTCATTGAGTATTTCACGCTCACCTGTATTTCACTTGGCTGTGGTTTCCGTAATCACAAAAGCCCCTGGTTTTTTAGTTTTAAATTGTGCGGCGTCCTTTCTCTGCAACTTTGAAAAATGTATCGAGGATTTCTGAGCCCTTACTATATTTAGCTAGGAGTTGGGGAAACACACAAAGAGAAGTGGAAATTGCCCTCAAGGAGCTTATCTTTTACCTTGGACCACGAGGAATATGCCTGTGAATAGCTGATACTTATAGGAAGTGATTGTCAGAAAAATACCATTCACAATTCCTTCCTCTAACAATTGGGCAAAGGAGCCAGATTATTGAATATACTAAAATTCTATTTTTAAAGATGGTGAAAATAATGCAGAGATGAATTAACCACTATGTCTCTACGTAGGTAACTGCACTCTGCATAGGCTTGTCGGGAAAACCCTTTTTGATTCAGCTTGCCGGCTTGTTGGTCGAAATCCGCGGTCCTCTGGCGCCATCTGGAGGCAGCTTGGCGCCAAGCTGAGAAGGACAAAAATAGTTTCAACTGTAATTGGACCAACTGCTTTACTTCTGTTCATCAAGTCACTTTTTAAAAAACAGTAGGGAATTCTGACCTGGGCGTGTTAAACGAGAATCAGTTCTAGAGAACATATTTTCCAAAGAGAGTAGTCAGTAGAAGAGAACGTTAAGGAAGATCATGGATTCTTCCAAACATCCTTGGGCACCTATTCTGAGACACAGTTTTACTTCCAGCATAATTTATATATTTGCAGAGTTTATAACACTGGAAATGTTATGATATACTCTACAATGTAATGTTAACTATATCTCAAAAAAAAGAAAATACAGCCAAACTTAGTGTTAAATAAATGGATGAATAAATGAATTGCCAGGCTTTAGGCTTCCAGGAGGTAAGTATATTCATGAAACGTGCGTATGTTTAGTGCTTCCGTGGAATCCTCTCCATCCACAAGGACTCAGCACACTGTTCTCTGAATGCAGCTACTGAGCATGGTCGGCGTTCATGGGTGGAGGGAGAGCCGATAGGGTTGTGGTTTTCCGCTAGGAAAATGTGTACTGTCCTTTGTAAAGGACTATGCACATCTGTATCTGGTTGAGAGATAGTCTTGGGTTCAGAGGAAACTTTCTGTAATGTAAAACAGCATGTAATACTTAATGTACATATTAATTTAAACAAAATAATTTGGGGGGAATAAGTTCTGGCCTCAAATTCATCAGCTAATTTGACATTTCTGGATCTTGGGCCACTACAGATATGACCTGCTTTACACCAAGAAAGTTCCTGAGCCTCCTGTCTTGAGAGATGGTGGAACTCACCAACACCTGTGATACAAAAATGTCATCAGCTTTCTCTTTATTAGACATTGTAGGCATTAAACTTAGTATTCTAATAGGAAAATCAGTATTTTAGTTTATTAAATATTCTGGTTAATAAAAATCATCATTCAAACACAGATGGAATGCCAATTTTCAAAGCATCAGGGCACAGCCACTACCACTGGCAGTGCATTAAGTGCAGCGCCACCATGATGGCTCAGCAATCGCACCAGCATAGTTTACTGCCTCGGTGGATAACCGCAAGCCTGGGGGATGTGCCGAAAGCTCCGCTGGCTGTTGCCATCTGAGGGCTGGCCATGGAGATCAGCTGTTGTAGAAAAGAAAGAATGTAAGTAAGCATATAATGAGTTATTATTCTATTAACTATAGTCACTATCACAAGGCTAAAATGAAGATATATTTTTAAAAAGAAGGATATTTCTCATTCTTCCCTACTGTAATTATATATATATATATATTAGGTTGAAGATGTATCTATATTTGATAACAAATGCTCATCTCTGGGAAAAGAGGGGACAGCATTTTTTTCTTTAAAAAAAGAGGGACATATCACACAATCCAGCAATCATGCTCCTTGGTGTTTACCCAGATGAGCTGAAAATTTATGTCCACACAGAAGCCTTCCTGTAGGTGTTACCTCAGCTTTACTCATAGTTTCCAAAACTTGGAAGCAACTGCAGTGTCTGTCAGTAGGTGAGTGGATAAAATAAACTGCAGTATATCCAGCCAATGGAATATAATTCGGTGCTGAAAAGAAATGAGCTATCAAGCCATGAGCAGATGTGGAGGAAACGTAAATGCATACTACTAAGTGGAAGAAGTCAGTGTGAAAGGCTGCATGGCTCTATGATTCCAATTGCATGACTTTCTGGGAAAGGCAGAACTATGGAGAGAGCAAAATGATCAGGGGTTTCCTGTTGGAGGGAGGAAGGGATGAATAGCAAAGCACGGTGGATTTTTAGGGTGGCGAAACTCTTCCCTATGATGCTATAATGATGGATACGTAGCATTATACATTTGTCAGGACCCACAGAATGTACACCACCAAGAGTAAACTGCAATGCAGACTGTGGACTCCAGGGGCCTACGATGTGTCAGTGGAGGTTCACCTGTTGTAACAAGTACACCACTCTGCTGAGGGATGTTGGTAGCAGGGGGAGACTGAGCATGGCGGGGGGCAGGGCAGGCAGTAGGAAGTGTATGGGAACTCTTTGTACTTTCAGTTCAATCTTGCTGTGAACCTAAAAGTGCTCTGAAAACATAAATTGAAATGTAATTTAAGTTTCAAAATCATGATGAGGTAGATACTATAACTATCCCCACTTTACAGGTGCATAACCTGATTTGCATCTATATACATATTGAGAAGTTCCACAGGTACATGGCTAGTAAGTCACAGAACTGGGATAGAGACACAGACACCCAAGGTGCAGCGTCTTAACTCTTAGGCTGTATCTCCTCCACTGGTAAGGCTGAGTGTCAACTGTCCCCACTTTAAAGACGAGGCACCTGCACTCAGGATGGTTCAATAAACTGCCCAAGGTTGCCCAGCTAATGACAATGATACCTGTATTCATACCCAAATCCTTTTGCTTTTAAAGCCTGTGCTTGTCTTAGCAAAAGATGGGGCCAATAAAACCATTTTGGACATGATATTTCAGCCCAGAGCACCAGGGACAGGGAAATTACCTCCTCCTCATCCAGGGCAATGTGACTCGCACCGCACTGACCCCTTATCGACATGATCTGCTTATGTTTCTCCTCATACCTCGTTGCTAATCTACCCCCGTGCCTCGAGTGGTGTCTGATACACTGAACATGATTAATACACACTCACTGAACCAGACAGAACTGACGAAGGCGACATCTGCTTCTTTTTTCTAGTTGTGATACACAGTTCCTCCCGTTCTTTCCATCCCTCACCCACTCCCCACCCAAACCTAGCCTCAAAGTCGTGTCATTTCTACAGTTATGACTTTCCCATGTCTAGATCAAAGGCCTTCATGTGACAGATATGGGAATGGTGGGAGAGGATGTTTGAAATCTGCCCTGCTCCTACGAATCCTTCACTGCAACCAAAGGGTAAACTGGATTTTCCAACGGGAGGCTGCCTGAACTGAATTTCTGGCACCAGCACCTGGGTGCCCACGTGAAGCTGGACCTCTCTGGGTTCGCAGCTTCCTGTTGCCGTGATTTTAGGATCCTTGGACACGGTCAGTTCCCAGCTCAGCTTCGGAAGGTGTTTGTGGATCTGCACACAGCGTCCTTCTCAGGGGATGTCTGTTTTCCTCCAGCTCTTCCCCTGGCTTGCTTCTTGCCCTGGTTTGGGTGCTAAGTGCTTGGGAGTCAATTTGGGACTACGAGGCCACTTTGAAACAGGAATTACGTTGTGTATCTGTGAGGGTTTGGATACCCACCTATTCATTATTCGTCTCGTAAACACTCCCAGAGCACCGATCGGGGACTCCGCGCTGTTCCAGGTTCTAGGGATCGAACAATGAACACAGAGGCAGCGTCCCTCCCTCTCAGGGCTGACGTTCTAGGGAGGAAGCATGGCAACAAACAAATCACTCAGTAAATAAACAGCATGTCCCACGGTGTTAAGCGCCGTGGGGAACAATGAAGCGGGCGAAGTGAATCAGCAGTGCCAGGGGTGAGCGCAGACCTTGGGAAGTGAGGGGGCTGCTCCGTGTGTACTGAGACGCGGAGGAGTGAGCAGCTCGAACAAAACCCGAGGCAGCCGCCTGCCTGGTGCGTCTGAGGGACAGCACGGGCTGCAGCAGCCGGAGCAGGACAGAGCTGAGAGGTCAGAGTAAGTGGGGGCGGGTCATGCAGGGGCTTCCCAAGGCCTTGGGCTTTTACTCAGAATCATATGAGAGCCGTTGCCAAGCTGGGAACACAGGCGTGACACGTTGCAACTTACGTTTGTAAAGAGTCGTTGGCTGCAGTGCTGAGAACACATGGGCGTGGCAAACGGCCAGAATCAGGACCTGCTAGAACCAGTGCAAAGTTATCTTTGATTTGTTACTCAAAACACTGTAGTCTCTAAACTCAGCTGTCACTAGCATCTTACCTCTGGAGATGACCACCATGTTGTGTAAATAAGGCCATCCACAGTTTGACTCCTGAACTCCTTTCTTCGCCTCCCAGGCGCCCCCTAGTGACCGTAAACTGAACTGAAGGGCTCCAGCACACTGATTTCAGAGCCCAGGTTCTGTGCATCCATCCACCTGCCTAACACACGAGCAGCAGAAAGAGAGGGATTCAAGGTAGAGGGAAACTCGCGGACTGGGATTCCTTATTTGAGAGCCAGGAACAAATGACCACTCTGATAGGGCTTCCCTGGAGAATAAGTTTGAGAATCTGGTCGGCCCGCTCCCCCAATCACAGAAGGGTGTCAAGGAGAGTGGAGTCTCAGAGTAAATGTTCTCAAATGTTTTACACGGAGAAGTGAGAAGATGGGCCATGTAGATTGCAACATGCCTGGCATTGGCCATGAAGGTGAGCGAGCCCTGGAGAGGGACTGAGGGGGACAGAGAGGGAGAGCGGTGCCAGCCGAACCGGGAGCCACGAGCCTCACTCCCTGCTTGTTCATGCTCCCTGACCCGTGTGTGAGCTAGACGTCCCGTCCAGAATCTCCTGAAGTCTGGGGGAAGCTGCCTGCTGCCTGATGGGTGGCTGCCATTGCCACGCTGCAAGGTCAATGGCGGACACTCTAAGCACTGAGGGACTGTTCTCAGCAGCGTTGTGGCTCCACAGAGCGTTGCACGGAGGAGCCTGCACAAATGCTCGATGGCAGAGATGGAAGGCTCTGTTGTAAATCCTTTAAATGTGTATCTCTGAGCTTTGTCAACAGCACAGTGCCCTACAGAAGAGAAATGTTCAGTAAGTCATAGTCAATAAAATGTCTTGCAATCATACTGTAGATTGAATTTACCATATGTACATAGTTATATGACTATTCAGGAGAACAAACTGACTGATGAGCTTCTAACCACTTTTTTTTCTGTAGGTAAACCAGTACATGGCTTACAGAATCCAATTATTTCAGACAGGCGAATATATATAAGGGTGGAATCTCAAGTAACTTCAGTGTTTAAGAAATGGCAAAACTATAACTTTCACAATAAGATACAAAAGTCAGGGATATTCAAGCTCTCACCCAAGAGCCTGTGCTAACTAACTTGGACATTTGTGTTTGAGATAACATGGTATTTATTGGGTGTTTACCATGAGCCAGGCACCCTTCCAAGTTCTTTACGTGCATTAACTCAATCATCCTGACAGCCCTAGGAGTTGGATGTCATTATTGTTCCAATTTACAGGTGAGGAAACCAGAGCTCAGAAAGGCGAAGTGACTTGTCCAGAGATGCATGAGTGACCATCATCCCGAGACCATCCCAGCACCGATGGATTGCTGGGACAACTCACAGACTCAGCATGTGGTCATCCTCATGGCTGTGATTTATTACAATGAAAAGATACAAAGCAAATGCACAAAGGGAAAAGGTGAGGTTGAGGGAAAACCAGGCACAAGCTTCCAAGCGTCCTCTCCCAGGCAGTCACCAGGATGTACTTAATTTCCCCAGCAATGAGTTGTGTGAAAAGTGACTCATCAGAGACGCCACACCCAGGAGTTTCATTGGAGCCTGGTCACCTCAGCAGCCTCTGCCCAGCATGAATCAAAATTCCAGCTCCCAGAAGGAAAGCAGGCGTCCAGCAGGACTCATATTGTTTGCAGTTTAGGCACAGGGAGCTGCTTTTACCGATTTGGAGGAAACCTTCTTGAAACTCAAGTTCCCAAATGCCAACCAAGAACCAGCCTTGCAGGGAGCCCTTTCTAAGAATGGAAATCAGGCTTTCTATGTCCACACTTTTCCCCACATATGTGTGCTGAGTGGAAGAGCTGGGCTTCCCTCCCAGGTAGATTCTGGATGCCAAACACAGAACCACTGCAGTCTATGGGTTATCGGAGACGCCCAGCAGCCGTAGTTAGGAGGCTGGAATTCAGGGCAGGGGTCTGGCTGGAGGGGGCAGCGTGGGAGTTGCGGGCCTATGTGACACTGAGAGCTAAGTTCACGTAGGCAGCGGACATACACTGAGAATGAAAGAGGTCGGAGGACCGCGTTCTGGGGCACTCCAGCACCCAGAGGTGTGGTGTCTGAGGGCGAAGGTTAGTGGACACTAAGAAAGAGAGGCCAGTGAGTTCAGAGGAGGAGGAAGTCATGCCCTACAAGCCAAGTGGAGTGTTTCCAGAAGGCAGCAATGAACCACAGATACCGCTGGGAGGTCAGACAAGCAGGCTGCACCCTTAACCACGGGGGAGGCTGCTGGCTTTAATGAGGACTGTCTCAGTGCAGTGCTCAGGCAGAGGCCTGATGGGAGGGGGTTCCAGATTGCACGAGAGGAGAGGAGGTGCAGAGCACGGATCGGTGAAAACTCTCCGGGAGTTCTGGTGTAGAAGGAAGAAGAGACACGGAATAATAGCTAGAGGGGAAGGTGAATTTCAAAAGCTATGGGTATTTAACATGGGAGATATTACAGCATGTGTATGTGCTGATGGGACTGATCCCCCAGAGGAAGGAAATTACTGGTGTTTGAGGTGCAGGGGGAAATGGTGTCCTTGAGTAGGTGACAAGGAAGGGGGCACAGTATACAAGCAGGTCATAGATTAGACCATGTGCTTTGCATCCAGAGTTATGGAGTAGAAGGGAAATGATTTGAGCACAGATGGGGTGGGTGGGCAGGTGGAGGAGCCGGTGGCTGTGTGTGGAATTTCTCTTCTGTTGCGTCACCTCTTGTTGTGAACGGGAGGCAATGCTTTCAGCTGAAAGTGAGAAAGAGGTGGAAGATCATGGAGGATTGGAGAGAGGAGGTGTGTGACACTGAAAGGTCCTAAGAGGGAGCGGATTGGGGGAATGTGGTAGAAATGCTTGGGCTCCTACGGGCCTGAGAGAAACTCAGACATTTGCTGCCATACATTTAAAATGAGACCGGTGGCCATGGCCGGGTGGGTTTTCCAGCCATGGTAAGCGGCAGGTCTGCAGGCACCGAGTGACAGGGGGCTGGATTTCACCAGGACAGGGTTCTGCCCGGCAGGTGTGAGGAAGAGACAAAGTGGTGCAGATGTTGGGGTAGACTTGAGGGAGTTTGTTTACAAAGGGAGATAGATTATTGTGGGACAACCTTCTAAGTCTTCCTTGGAGGTTTGTGCAGCAGAAAAGTTGATACTGGAGTGCCTTGAAAGTTATTTCCTTTAAATGCTCAGTATATTGTGCAATAAATCACAAAGCGTACAAGATTAACCTGTAAAATGCACACTATTGCTTTTGTTGACTGTGATTCACTTTTGAACCAGGTGCACAGCCTGGTGGCCCCCAGTCCTCAGTTTTGAAGACAAAGAGCTACGGACAGGTCGCTGCAGCTTTATCAGACAGTGGTCCACATGGCCATGAAGGGGAACAATCGTGCTTTCAAATATCCCTGACCCTTTACCATCAGTCCACCGTTCACATAGAAAACCTGGCGTCCGCCAGCCCTGCCTTTCTGGGAAATAGGTTCTGAGAAGTTTGTGAGTGTTCCCACCCTCCCAGGTGTGAGCGCCAGCCCCACCCTCTCCAGCCCTGCACCTGCCAGAGAACTTTGTACGGCTTCTCTACTTCTTACTCATTCCAGGGCCTCTTTTCAAGCACACACACCTCTGGGTTCTTTCGTGCTTCCTTTACTGCAGGCTCCAGTGACTCAGCCTGCTTCCCGACCCCTGCTGTCCCCTGAGAGCCAGGCCCTCTCCGCCCCTGCCCGGCTTCCTCCCTTCCTAGTCATCTCTGAAGATAAGCCATCGGGACCTTTTGACTTTAAAAGATGTATTGCATCTCACAAATGTGTAAGACAAATAGCCAATATATCACAGGTAACTAAAATTGGCATAATACAGAGCTTCTAGAATCCCAACAAAATTTATGAGAGTATGGTCCAATGTACCCTTTGCGCCCCTGCCTGTGGTGGCGCATGAGAATACCACCCCGTCTTCCCTCCTGGGTGTCCCTCCTTTACTCTCGCACACTTATCACATTCAGAACACTCCTGACACGTCTGGTCACCAAATGTGTGTGGGTTTTTCCCACCCTGAGCAATTCCGTGTCACGCCAGCTGGGTATTCTACAGTTTAATTCAATTCTGATGCTATCTTCCTGGAGGCAGCGTCAGATCCCGGAGGTGAGGGGCTCTGTCCCATGAGACTGCCCCTCTGCCACTGCAGGAGCCAGTCACAGGCAGTAGGTTCCCAGGTCACCCACGACTTTTTTCCAACTTTGCTACACATCAGAGGTTCCCATGATCCCCTCACCCTTGGCTTTGGTTATTTGCCAGACTCATTCACTGAAGTCAAGGGAACACTTAGGTTTACCAGTTTATTAAAAGTTATGATAATGAATGCAGATGAACAGCTAGATGAAGGGAGATGCATAGTGTGAGGTCTATGGGGCCTCAAACACAGGAGCTTCTGGCCCCATGGGGTTGGGGTGTATCACCCTCCCAGGACATGGGTATGTTCCCCAACGTAGGAGCTCTATGAACCCCATAATTTGGGATTTTTATGCAGACTTCATCATGTAGTCATAGTGAATTGTTAACTCCATTTCCAGGCCCTCTCTTTTCTATAGAGAAATTTGGGGGTTGGGGAGGTGGGGCTCGAAACTTCTAATCCTGGCTTGGTCTGGTGATGACCAGCCTCTCACCAGGAGCCCACCCGGGGCCCCCTCATTAGAACAAAAGATGCTCCTAGTGCCTTTATCGCTTAGGAACTTACAAGGGTTTCAGAAACCAGAATGAGGCCACATGTATATTTCTTATTATAATTCACAATATCACAGATGGGAAGTGGGAACTTCTACTTAATTCCTAATGCTGAATTCACCATCAACAACAGGGAGGTCTCCTTCCTCTCCCCAATACCTCCTAGGAGCCCCTGTTCCAGCTCTGAGGGC